AAGAAATAGAAATAGAAATAGAAAAGCTAAGACTCTTGCTACCAAATGTGCTTTCCTGTTCCAGCCTCAGATGTAGGCAAGGTGTTAGCTTTGATCTGGGTTTCCTTTTCCTAAAATGAGGGGCAGAGGATAAATTCCAAAGCTCTCTCTAGGTTTTCAGTTCTATTATTTGAAGTCCATGTTGATATTTCGTGGGATTATAGAAAAAGTCTGGTGTTTGCTGTGAAGCTGATCTGTATCATCCTCAAGGTTCCAGTGAGTACATACATCTCAGGTTAAAGCATTAGAGAACTTGAATGACTGAGATGATCTGCTCTGTAGAATAAGGTTTCAAGGAGTTGGGGGCACTACTTGTGATAGTGGATTGAGGCCCGAAAAGATCTAACAAGACATTTCTGGGCAAGAACGAGGCATTTCTGTGAAGGCTCCAGGCACCTAAATGCTTGCTGACTTGATTGTTGATGACCTGTCCTGACATTCCATGCCTTCTCTTGAGATTAGATTATATTCATTACTTATTACAAAACATGAGCACAGATTAATCATGCCAATAACATTAGAATGCACTTTTCATCATAAGTCCATATGACTTTAATGTGACCAAATTAAAAATAATTTAATGAGGTAATCTGTTTTTAATTGTGAAAGAAACATATGTCCTATAAAACATATGTTTTTTATGTAAACAGTATGATACAGTAGGGAGAAATGCAGAACATAGAATATATAAATCATGATCTTGTCATTATACACATTTGGTATATTGTTCCAGGGTTTGTTATTTTTTTTCCTCTGCCTCTATTTTAGCTGTCAAAATCATTGTTAAAGTTATAGCTGAGCACTTCACACTTAACTTAATCACTTTCTGCACATCCCTTGTAACAAATGCTCACACTTTCCCGATTGTTGGGACATTTCCAACATTCTATTTTTTCCAGGTTGCCATTAGAAATGCTCTAATGAGAATCTTTACATAAATCTGTCTATATCAAAGATTATAACTTGGGATATATTCCTAGGAGGGTAGTTTCTATGTCAGTGGAGATAATTTCCAAGGCTCTTGAAACCGATTATCAAATTGCTTTCCTGTATGGCTCCGCCCTCACCAACAGAGCAGAGAAATTCACTAGCCCCAATTCCCCACCAGGATTAAGTGTAATTTTCTGTTCCATGCACAGGGACATAACACAGAAAAACAATCTCTCATTTTCTTTTCGTCTGCATTTTGAATCGTTAATAAAATTCAATGTTGTTTCAACTTTATCCTTTTGTGTTTTCTTTATTTTTGAATTATCTGTATTGTCAGCCTGTTAGAATTGAACATAAAAACAATTACACCTTGGGAACCTTAACTGTGGCTAGTTTGCTATCACACCAGAGAGGAAACAAGATCAGGAAGTAGAACTTTTTAAATTAAAAAACATAATTTTAATACTTAATTTTCTCAAAATTTCAAGAGCTACTAAATGAAAGATGAAACAGCATAGGGTTTTCAAAACAGAACACCAAGGGACATCACTTCACAGTTGCTTTAGAGCCTTGCATGCTTGCCTCAATTTCCTCCAGGTTTGTACACACGAATGGTCTCAGTGGGTAGGTAATTAGAACTACTATTCGGAAAGAGTTGGCTTGCAGATCTGCCTGCTGCTTTCCATAGGCATGGGGTCAGCCTTCCCTCTTTGTGCTCTGCTGGGCTTCCTAGGAAAATGAACGTTAAGAGTGATTTTCCTCCTACCCAAGTTCAGCATCTACCACTTTCTTTTTGTTTGTGAGTGGAAAGAGTGATGCATCTTCACAATTACGCATTTGCAAGTGTGTGTGTGTGTGTGTGTGTGTCAATGAGCCCGCCATACATGTGTGTATGTCTGAGGTTGATATCCAAACTCATCCCTCTATGGCTCTCCACTTTATTTTTGAGACAAGGTCTCTCACTAGGCTAGGCTGGCCGACCAATGAGCTCCAGAGATCTTTCTGTCTCCACCTCCAACCCAAGTGCTGATGTTAGAGATACAAACCCCTGCATCAGGCTTTTCCATGGATGGTCAATATCCAAACTCAGGTCCACATGCTTTGTGCAGCTGGTACTTTATGCTCTGAGCTGTCTCCCCAGCCATCCAGAGTACTACTTTCAATGTACCAAGAGATGCCTTGCAAAGGGGAAAGGAAAACCACATGGGCAGGCTGTGATAAACAACCCTGTTCGAGAGGAGACGGAATTAGAGGTGCTTTAACTGACAAGGCAGGAGGGTCCATGTGTGTGTGTGATAACATTGTTGCCCTGTGTTGGTAAACTGAGGCAGCGAGGCATGCGCTCACTCATCCTGGAAGGTCTTGAGTGACTAAACAAGTACTGAGGTGCTCTTACAGAAATGTTTACGGTTCTGATGACACCAAGACTTAGAAAGACTTCCCAATGACCCACAGGTAGTGTTTATCTTTCCCAAGAATTAACACTCAAGTTTTTTTCACTTTATGTTTTCAAACTCACTTTCTATTTGTGTGTTTTATTTATTTATGTACTTACGCATTTATTTGGTATGTGCTTAGTGTGCCTTTTACAAAATATTCCCAGATTCTGGCTATTTATTTCTGTGCAGAAATTGAAAGGGTGATCTTTATACAAAATCAAATGACATAGAGACTGGTATAAAAAAAAAAAAAAGAAAGAAAAGAAACAGATCTCCAGGCTACTCCCACACACCCAAACCCCAGAAGTAAATAACACCTAAAAAATGTCAGCCTTCATGCTTCTTGGCTGCATTTTCTGCCCTCTCCCAGTTCTCTTTCGTTTTTCTGTTCTTGTGTGGCCAAGCGAGCAGCTGACCTCTCTTCAGCTGCTGCTAAGAGGTGAAGAAAGGGCTGACGTGGTGGCTGTATCGCTGGCACAGATTACACAGTGTCTTCGTGGGTTTGGGATGCCGTAGCCAGCTGACATAGAATGGTACCTTACAGAAAACTAGAAGCTAATCTGACAAGCTTCTGAAGGCTGGGAAGGCCAAGATAAAGACACCAACAGTTGACATCCCCTTAAATGATGAAAGGGACAAAACAGCTCTTTGAGACCCCTTTTACAAAGGCCCTAATTCCAATTATTTTAAAAAATTTGTGTGTATGTATATGTTTGTGTATGTATATGTGTGTGTATATGTTTGTGACATGTGAGAGAGTGTGGGTGTGCCACAGTGAGCATTTAGAGATCGGGGACAACTGTAGAGCTAGGTCTTTGCCTTCCACCCTGTTTGAGACAGGGGTTCTTTGTTGTCTGCTGCTGGTAAGCCCAGGATAGCTGGACTTGGAGCATCTGGGGGAGGCTCCTGTCTCCTCCCATCTCACCATAAGAGCAATGGGACACAGGACTGTAGAGCTATGTTGCTATGTCTAGCTTAACCTGGGTTCTGGGCAATAGAACTTAAGTGTTTTACCCCTGAAGCCATCATTGCAAGCCCATGGATTCCGTTCATGACTATTTCCATTTTCATCCTCTACCAAAAGATCCACTTATAGTGCTGTGCCCATAAGGGTTACAATTTCAACATAACGGTTTTAAGGGGACACAGATGAATTTCTGTAGCACTGGCCTTATAATTTTCTCTAATACTTGATATTACTACCTTTTCTTTCAAAACTAGATGCCAATTTAAGAGTCCACTTGTACCTAAGTTGAATGTGTGTGTGTGCGCGCGCGCATGCATGTGTATGTTGAGAGAGGAGAGAGAGATCAACTGTCATGTGTCTTTTAGTCAGAGACTCACTATGTAGCCTTGAACTAAGATCCTCCTGCCTTAAGCCTCCTAAGTGCTAATACTACAGGTGTGTGTTCCCAACTTGGGTTCAAATGCCTGTTTAGATTTCCTTGTTTTCCAGTGCTCATCTCCAGAACCCCAGAAAAATCAGTTAGATTGAGATACATGCTGACAATGCACTGCTTTGCAGGCAGTTAAAATGATTGAAGGAAGAACATTAAATGACAAGAAAACGCTGTGTACATGTGGGTTGAAGTAAGTTATAAAGCACCATAAATGGTATGAGCATGATCAAAGGTTAAAGTGCTCATATGAACGCATGTAAATACACATACAGAAAACAAACTGCTGTGTTCATCCATGTCTCCTATACTGTTTTTCACATTTTTCTAGAAGAACCAGCATCGCTTTTGCAATAAGAAAAAAAAAAAAGAGCCAACGTTATTTTTTTAAAGCACAAAGCTCAAGCTTATTCTATGTACTTGAGAAGGAGCCAGAAAATGTGGCCTTAAATTCTTCAGCCCCTTGATTCACTTGTTACTAAATCCATGAAGACATCAGTGTCTAACTCCTGATGTCTAAGGCAACAGGACCAGGGCTGCTGCTTGGTGGCAGCACCAGCGGTCCACTCTCAGACATTGTGAGAGTTTTCCCTTCTCCCCTGTCCCTACCCCCATGTCCCCCTTCCCAGTACAGCCTCTGCTAAGGCTGTTCACAGATCCCCTCCATTCAGCCTTCCTACAGTCATTCTTACACACACACACACACACACACACACACACACACACACATAGAGAGAGAGAGAGAGAGAGAGGCATGCACATGTGCATTGAAACACGTGGTTTACTCTTTGTGTGTGGTTCTTTGCGCATTGGCAAATTGGCCACTTGGAAGCTGTTGTGAAATTTGAGAAAAGGTCGTGAGAAAGGTGTGGGTGCTCTCTCCACACCCACACTTCATTCCTAGGATCAGGCCCACGCTCCCCCGCCCCCGGAAAAAGAGCCGCAGACATGGTGTGTCGAAACAAAAGGCAGCAGACATAGCAGATACCAAGATGGTTTTCTAGAAAGGCCTTTCAGCAGAGGCTAAGACACTTTACACACTCGACCTCTCACTTCACCAACATAAGAAAAGCTTCATTTCATCCAGGAAACCTCATGTGTAACGTTGCAAATAGGAGAGGCCATAAAGAAAACGCTGTTTGGGGAAAATGATATTAAAATTAGACTAATTTTGTTTTTTCTGTTCCTCACACAGTTTTGCTGGTAACTGGAATACATTCAAATAAAGAAATGGCAAAGAAGATTAAGAGACCCAAATTCAGTGAGTAAAATCAAAACTCCTTTCTGGCAAAAGGCGGTGTGCCACGTGTGGAGAGCGATAGCACCTGAGTTAGAGGGTGGATGTCAGTCTTTGGGCTTAGCCAGGACTTTTGTTCCTATGCCTGCTGCTTTGTATTTAAATGGCGGTGTGTCTGATTTGTTATGTACCTCATTCCAAAGAACATTCGATGTGAATCCTGATTTTAAAGTAAAACAACTGTAGTTCCACCGCAACAGGAAAACTCAAAGGTCACACATAGAACCAGGCAACTGATTAGGCAATAGTTCATATCTCAATTCCCCATGGTGGAAGATTCAGTGTGGCTAACACAAAAGTCCATCACAGCTTCCTGTCTCCCCAAATGCCTGGGAAAGAGACAGAAAGACCATGAGACCTTAAGGAGAAACAACAAAAAAGGAGTCCCTTGCCCTCATCCCCAACATGGATCTGGTTTACATTTCTCACTGATTACAATTTCAACACAACTTATGAAACCACATAGCTGTAAAGATTGCCTGCAGATCCTAGACCCTAGCCTATCAGGTCTCATCAGGACTGGCTGCATTGTCCTCCTCTGAGGCCTGGCTGCACTGTCCTCCTCTGATCACCTCTCAGGGGGAGGTGATCAAAGAGCCTGGAGGAGGAGCATGGGAGGAAAAGAGGGAGGGAGGAAAGGTAGGATTGGGAGGGGATGAGGGAGGGGGCTACAGCTGGGATACTAAGTGAATAAATTGTAATAAATGAAAAAGAAAGAAAGGAAGAAGGAAGGAAGGAAGGAAGGAAGGAAGGAAGGAAGGAAGGAAGGAAGGAAGGAAGGAAAGAAGGTTGCTTGCAGAACGCCAATTTCTCCTACCACCATTCCTTTGCTAGACCTGATCATCTGTCCCTGCGTCTTTAGAGGTGGTTTATAGAAGGAATGTTGCAGAGTCTGAAGCCATGAACCAGGGGAGCACTATTGAGCTGTAAGCATAACTCAACAGGCCATTCTGTTGGGCCTTTGTAAAATCAGAATGCTGAGGGAAATTGGCACAGTGGAGTCCCAGCTCACCAGAGGCAAATAAGATATTCAGTGGGGAGCTGAGTTAGAGTTCTTTCATGCATCCTAAGAACTTGACGGAGGCCAAATTTGAAAGTGATGAGCCTGAGCGGAAGAGAAGGCTCAGCAGTCATGAGCACTGGTTTCTCTTCCTGAGGACCCAGGTTCAATTCCCAGCTCCACAAGGCAGCTCACAACAGTCTCTAACTACAATTTCAGGTGATCTGACACGCTTACACAGACATACATGCAGTCAAAAATACCAGTGCACATGACATAAAAATAAAAATTTAAAGAGAGAGAGAGAGAATGAAAGTGATGAGACGATTTGTTTGGGCGGGAGAAATTTGAAGAGCAGACAGTGTTCAGGCAGTTATCACTGCTCTTACCCAGTTGACACTGAGGGACCAACAAGCGAAACAGAGAGACCTGGAAACTGCAGTTTGACAGGAGGCACCCGAGTGAACAGAAAGCTGAAGACAAGAAGCTGTAATTGTCAAGAGATAAGTACCATGGAACAGGAGCCTCCTGCTCTGTACTGGGGCCATAGGAAAGGTGTCTCAAGGGCAGCACATTACTCAGCCAAGTCTTCAGCCTGTTAAAATAAAAATTCATCTGAAATAGACTACACCTAACTGAGAATGCCTCTGAAGGGCTTCCCTGCTCCCGTGTCTAGGAAAATGGTTTTTGTTTGTTTGTTTTTCCTTCCAAATTGAGCCATTAGGATACACTAAGGCCACCACAACTATAAGGGAGGTGGCATCTCCAGCTGGCAGAAAACTTGGCGGCATTGTTCACATGGTGCTGGCTTTTCAGGGAAGCAAAATACAAGAGTGATGGCATCATGAAGGCTGTACCAAGGAAGTCCCTGGGCTCATACAATGTGTGGCACAGTTGGCAAACCCACAGGGAAGCCCCCAAAAAGCTGTTTCATGAAACTGGGAATAGGATGCCCAAGTTGCAGTGAACACACCAGGATGATGGAGATCCCAAGGTCATGGGATATTTAAAGCTGTGGGCATGCAGTGGAGTTGGCCCAGTTGGCTGTGTATGTTACAGGCAGCAGGGCTGAGGAAAGAGGCTACCTAAGCACTCTGGAGCCCAGATGATTCCATCACTAGTCCCAGAAACCCAATGTGGAGCAGCAGAATTTGGCCCCATCACCCGTCATGCCTCCTTCGTTCTCTTCTGGAATGGGAAGGCTCGCTCTGAGCTGTTACATGTTAAAAGCCTGTAACTTGATTTTGATTTTTACAGCGGCTCACAGATAAGAGATTACCTTGGGTCTCAGAAGAAACTGGACTGTAGGGAAGTGTTAGAACTGTTAAAGGTTATAAGAACTTTTACATTTGGAATAAATATAATTTATGTCATCGGATAGCCATGAGTGTAGGGGCCAAGGCACAGAATGTTTTGTTTAAATGTGAAATATCTCCCATGGGCTGGCAAGAGTGAATACTTCATACTCAATGTTACAGCTATTTCAGAAGGTTCTGGAAGCTTTGTGAGATAGGACCTTTCAGGGGAAGTGGTGTGTGTGTGTGAGAGAAAGAGAGACAGAGAGACAGAGAGACAGAGAGACAGAGACAGAGAGAGACAGACAGACATACACAGAGAGAGAGAGAGATCTGGCACCATAGCCTGTCTGTTCCCAGCTTCCTGACTACAGACACAACGTAACCAGCCATGTAACACTCCTACTTTCCCAGCTATTATGGACTGTACTCTCTCTTCCCTGGTGGTGGGAGAGGCAGTGGGGCGGAAGGTGGGCTGCTTGCATAGAGACAATGCTCCTTTCTCCAAAAACATACTTCCAACAAGCATTTAAACAGCTAATGAACAGTGCTTAAGGTTAAAACTTACAGGCCTTTGAGTTTAATCCCATCCACACCTCTCTCATCCATAAGCCTGAACAATGTACATTTTCCTCCTAATAAAAAAAAAAAAAAAAAACTTTACATTTATTTGCAAAAGGAAATTCTTGAAGATAAGAGAAGTAAGTAAATGAATTCATGGTTGTTTACTAAATTTTTAGGCTTTGCTTAATCTTTGAACTTGTTTGTAAATTACATCCTTTAAACAATCTAATGTCAAAAAATAGAAGATCATAACTACAAATAGCTACTTGTAAGGCACTTAAGCGAGACTCTGCCTTGAGAGCCCCTACCCTTTGGGTATGCACTGTCTTTCTAATAAACCCCAACTTTGCTTCATACTGACTCCTCCTAAAATTCCTTGCTATGGCAAAAATCAAGATTCTGACTCTATCTGAGTGGAAGTCCGTGGGAAGAACGCAGCAGGCTACACAGCCAGCAGTATCAGGGCATTATTCACTCCCACTGATGCCTGGGTTCAGCCACATAGCAGATACCAGACTCTCACAATGGAAAAGAAAAAAAGTTGTTTAGGGGTATATCACTTCAAATAATTACCACTTATGTGAGACTGAAGTGTCTCTCCTTTAAGTAAAATCAAAAATCAAGCTGTAATCTGACGTAAATTCCAGACATTTGGATCATGCTTCTGCCATTTTTGACATGGCTCCTAGCTGTCCAAAATGGCTGCCTTACCTTCATTGCACGATCATCAACAGGAAGGAATGAAGAATGCACATTCTAGTTCACTAAAAAAAGTTAAAGTAATAATAATAACCAGAAAGTTAAATATAACTTTTGCTTGAGTTCCATTCGTATCAGTAAGGGATAGAGGAAACGTCTTGCTTGCCAGAATACACACTTTTTACTGAAAGTAAGGGATTCTCTTACTGGGAAGGAAGGACAAAGTGAATGTTGGGAAATAGCAGAGCAGGACACAGATGGGAAATTGCGTGCTGTGAGTGCACTGGGATTTCTGGATCCAGAAGTGAAGGCATGGGCATGATGGAAGTTTATGGGAGACCATAAAACAAAGGCTTTAGACAAAGTCAATGTTCTGTGCCTTCCACAGCAAAGACTTTCTTTACAGGCATTAAATTTAAGTGTGTTGAAATCAGCAACATTTATAATTTGAAATGAAAGAAAGAAATTTGCTACACACAATCACCCTTTTTCTTAAAAGCTGCCATGTGAGATTTCCTGCTGAAATGAGACCAAAGGGGCAGCCATCCATAGACTCTTAGGTTGAAATACTAAAAATGAATCAGTTGTTTATTTATCCCTGTCAGGACCAAGAGCCAAGAGGAATAGCACTGGGGCAGATGTGTGTTCAAAACAATGATTGGGTTAATGCGGAGACAAACACACACCCAAGTATGGATTCCTTTGGGCTATTTCCAGTATCTTCATTAACCCTGATACAAAAATCATGAAAGCATGAAAGGTTCCATGATTGCCATGACAACAGTTCTCAGTGACTATGAAAGTCTGTGGTAAGTGACCCAAGGGCAAACTCCTTGGAGAGCTCTCAGATGGATTGAATTTCTGATATGCTAAATTCTAGTTTTGCTCTCAAAATCTCCCTTGTGATGCAGCACATTTGAATCAATAAATGCCTAAAGTCTTTTCTCTAATTAGAAACTCTAGCACAATCATTAAATAAGGGAGCGAAAAGATGCAATGAATGTAATAGAATATTCCCAAGCCAGGGACATATCTGATTCTTGACCTCAGGAGTATTTGCAAATTGTAGTCTATTGCTTGCGGCTAGAGTAATTTTCATTTTTCCAATTGTTGTCTGCAGCTGGACTAGGTAACTTATGGCAAGTAGGCACAGCATTCATGCATTCAGCAAGGATTTCCTAGGGGGCCTGCTAAGTACCAGGCCTGCTGTTAGACACCCAGGGATAACTGGAATCAAGGACTCAGTCTTAACCTTCACGGAGCTCAAAAACCAATGAGGAAGATAAGCCATAGACTAGTCTATCACATGTAAAGAAGTAAGGGTCCTGGGAGACTATGAAGGACCAGACTGTGTATGGAGGAATTGTGTGCCTACTCTGATAAAGCCAAGAGGGGGTGGCACTACA